TGCAGACCAATGGAAGTAAGTCATATTCTCAAACAAGTCTAGTTTTTCTCTTTTCCCAACTTCAGGGCGTGTTTATGTGTGGAGGCAGCCCAAAGAAGCTTAAAACCCTGACTGCCTTCTTCCAGCAGTAAAGCATGGAGGTAGATCAGTGATAGTTTGGGCTGCCATATCATGGAAATGTATCAGTCCAATAGTTGCCCTGCATGGTAGAATCAACAGCAAAGAATACCTGAATATTTTGGGAGATCATGTTCATCCAATGGCCAAGACTTTATTCCCTGATGGTGACTGCATCTTCCAAGACGATAATACTCCAATACATACCGCTCGAGTGGTTAAGAATTGGTATGAAGAGCATGAAAGTGAGCTAGAACACATGGAGTGGCCTATCCAATCTCAAGATATCAATATTATTGAACATTTGTGGTGCATTTTGGAGCAACAAGTTAGAAGCCGCTATCCTCCACCGTCGTGTCGTAAAGAGCTGGAGAAGGTTTTAATGGAAGAATGACTGAAAATTCCTCTGGATGAAGTCAGGAAGCTGTATGATTCCATTCCTAGACGTATTAAAAGCTTTCTGTGAGGCTAAAGGAGGACCAACTCCATATTAAATAAATTTTCTTTGAATTTAACAAGTGTTCCAATTATTTTGTCCAACCCCTATATATATATATATATATATATATATATATATATATATATATATATATATATGAAATGGATTAGGTCCGACAATTCATTTAAGCAAATTCTTTTTTTTTTTTAAATTAAACAATATTAGTTACATTGTGCCGGCCTGAATGTTCGAGAAAAATTTGTAGAAAATATGTGTTCTTCGACAGGAATCGAACCATATATATATTTCCGTATAGGAATACAGACTCTATTCTTGTCAGAGAACGCATAATTTATACGAACAGCATTTAAAAATAACGTATAAAAACACAGACACACACACATATATATATATATATATATATATATACTAATAACAATACTCGTTTGGAAAACCTCGTATAGCTCAAATTGCAGATATGTCAAAACAAGTCGGTATCCGAGGAAAAAATTGGAAAAAAAAAGAAAGAACTAAAAACATCAGAACAGGGCAAAACAAAGCATCCAGTGCCTTAAGTCTTTAGTCCAAAGAAAAAAAAACCCAAGCCAGTAGTAAGACTAAAACGTAGTAGAACGGGAATAACTAAAATTTATTTTAGTTATAAACACACACACACACACACACACACACACACATATATATATATATATATATATATATATATATATATATATATATATATATATACACCGACATATGCCCGAAGAAAGCGTTGAAAATGGTACCTCATAGCGAATTTTGTACTGTCTACTCAAAGATGAGGGCAATGGAGGTATGGTTCATCAGAAGGATGCTAAGGATACCATGGACCGAACATGTGAGCAACAATGAGATTTTGGTGACGATGCAAAGAAGAAACTTGTATTTAACATCAGGAAGAGGTAGCTGAAATTTCTGGGACACGTTATGAGAAAAGAAGGCTTGGAGAATCTGATAATCACAGGGCGAATAGAGCGAAAATGGGACAAGGAAAACAACGTGTGACATACCTAGAGGTCTTAATCAAGTGGATAGCCGAACAGGGTGTGGGTGAAGTAGAAAAGAGACAAAAGAGAACTACAAGGGATAGGATGAAGTGGAGGGCCATGATCACCTACGTCCTGAAGAGACACCAAATTTTAATGTACAAATACGGTTAGCTTTTTCTGCTTTTGCCACCAATGAAGAAGAACAGGAATGAGGCTCTTCTAAGTTATGTCTTGTCGTGCATATCGCCATTGCTGAAACGCATTAACCGCTACCCAAATGTGCTCACATCCACTATTTGGTCTCCGTAAATTTTAAGTAAATGTTTAGGATGTATTCCGTGATGTAATTCTGTCAAGTATGCCTTTCAGTTTCGGACGACTTTTTTCCAGCCTACTAACTGCGAAAAAGCAAAATGAATTATGGTTTATTATCAGGTGGGTTATATTTCTACTACAATGCCTCCATGAAATAGAAGAAAATCATTTTTTATTTATCATAAATATCGAACAAGCGGAAATCACTACAATTGAAGCCATGTTGCTGAAGTCATAGGTACACTGGGCACAGCATGTCTTCAGAATGGGGCCATCGCCTACCTAAGATAGCCCTGTACGGCGTACTCATCTCTGGCCACCGTGACAGAGGGGCACCAAAGAAGCGCTATAAGGGCTCCCTCAAGAAGTCCCTCGGTACCTACCACATTGACCATCGCCAGTGGTTGACACTTGCTGCTGACCGTCAAGCCTGGTACCGTACCGTCCACCAGGCCGTCTCCACCTTTGAGGACTCTCAAAGGGCCAACCCGAAGGAGAAACGCCGCGAGCGGAAGGACCGGGAAGCTTCAGCAGCTATACAAGACTAGACCTTTAAATGCAGTCGCTGCGGCCGAACCTGCCTGTCCTGTATCGGCTTGGTCCGCCATCATCGTGCCTGCAGTCGGCGAAGCTAGGCCAAGACGAGATATGAAGATATTTATATATATGGGTTGCTCTTCCCAAACTTCACTTAAATTGATCAGTTCGTACGAAAATGCTGTCGGGGTGGGATTATCTGTATTCAGTGTACTTTGCTCGACAGTGTATTACTTTTAAGGACGGGATGGAAAGTGGGTATTTTTTTCTATATACAAGGTGTCCTAGAACGTCGCGACGGGGCTTTGATATTCAATAATTATCCAGGGAATCGATATTTTTTCTTATTTTTTTCAGATTTAGAAATTTGATGGTCTGGAATTTTATTATGGATGATTTCACAAGTCAACAGCAAACAAAATTTGTATAATTTTATTTTGAAATTCAATTGTGTTGACACCGAGGGCATACCAAGGTGAGAAATCCGCCCCTTGAGTCAACGATTCGCCGTTCGATGGCGCGTTTTCAGCAAACTGTCTCTGTACATGAGATGTCAAGATCTGGGAAACCACGTTCAAATCGTACAGAAAAATATAGTGAATGTGCATTGAACTACACAAAAGAAGGAATGTCTATTCGTAAACGCTCTTTTCAGTTGAATATGTCCCAAACATCGTTATGAGGCGAGATTTACATCAACCTTTCTACAAAATCCCGTTGGTAAAGGAAATAAAGACAGTAAATTGTGAACAACTTATGAAAAGCGACTTAACTTAGCTCGAAGAATTCTAGAGCTTATAAATGAAGTTATTAATTTTTTTTATCATGTGAAAACCATCTATGCGAAGCTCCAAACAGAGGTCACTTCTACTTCTTCTTTGAGTCGTGTTCTTTTAGAACGTTGGCGATCATTGCTCTCCATAAATTTCTGATCTTTGTAGCTCTTAGTAGATTTTGTCTTTTTGATAACTCTCTTAAACCCTGTTCTGATATGTATTTACAAAAGCTTCTTTATTTCTCCTTCTTCTTCTTCTTTGTTGGCACAAAGAATACACAATATCCTTCAGGACGTGGGCTGTCATGGCTCTCCGCAATTTCCTGTCCACTGAATGAATGCTATCTGTGGCTACCTCTGTTTGAGTTGACCCCCTGTTTACTTTCATTTTTAAATAGCATGATTTACGTCTAACTGCCTACGCAATCGAGAGACGTAATGAAGATTTTCTCTCCGGCAGGGTTCGAACCTGCTTTCTTAGAAATTACTCCCTCTCTCTCTCTCTCCTCTGTCTCTCTCTCTCTCGCTATATATATATATATATATATATATATATATATATATATATATAAAAGTGAACATAGAAGTCAACACTTAGAGGCGACAGTCTGTTTCATGCTAAAAGCAATCGTCAGGTTCCCTTTTCACTTTTATATTTACACACGCTCTATCTCTGATATTGAGCATTTTATCCCATAAATATAGCATATTTTAAGACAATATTTCTTCATATATATATATATATATATATATATATATATATATATATATATATATATATATATGATGTATCAGGTTGCAAATTGTTGTTTTAATAAGTTTTGTCAAAAGAAGTTATTCCAAAATTTTAAAGTGCCGTCATTTATTTTCTGGGAATTTTAGATTATATCTCTGAAAAAGAAATCAGCATCTCATTTACAACAACTTCCCGGTAGACTCACTTTTCATATGTGCGGCTAAAGGGCAATGCAGTAACAACTGACAAACATTATACAGAAGTACAAAATTTGCAGTAATATAAGAAAGCTCCTTGTGGATAATGAATTAATAATTAGTACAATAATCTGAAAAAAAAAGGATTACAAATTTTAGAAGCTATTCATTTTAATTTAGAACAAACAATAATTAACAAAATCATTTGCATTTTAGGAACACGCTATCCAAGATCTATTTAAATTCTGGGAACCGATATAAAACCTCATTCATCTTTCATGACAAACATTTCAATTCAAAAATAGCATAACGTTCACGTGACATAAGATGCCTTCACAAATTATGAATAACTAGTGCATGAGATTTAAATTTCGAGGTACACTATTCATGGAATATTATATAAAAGTGGAAATTGAGGTCAATACCTAGTGGCGACAGTCTGTTTCATGCTTGAATGCAATCAACATGCCTGAAGATTACGTTTAATCTTGAAGTAGACTGTCACCGCTAGGTGTTAATGTCAGTGTCCATTTTCAGATTTTATGTTTACATACGCTCTATCCCTGCATTGAGAACTTTTACCCGTAAATATAGCACAAATTAAACTTATCTATCTATCTATCTATCCCATTCTGTTCTTTCTTTTTATATATCAATTTTAGTCTGTTCGTATCTATCTATCTATCTATCTATCTATCTCATTCTGTTATTGTTCTTTTTCCTTTCTTTCTTTCTTTCTTTCTTTCTTTCTTTCTAAATATCTATCTATCTATATATCTATCTCAGTCTATCTATCTATCTATCTATCTATCTATCTCAACTTGTCCATTATCTATCTATCTAGCTAGCTAGCTATTCAAATGTAGAGATAGATAGATAGATAGATAGATAGATAGATAGATAGATAGATAGATAGAGAGAGAATGCTTAAAGGTTTTTGCTTAAAAGACCATTGGTACTTGTGTTATTTTTCGAATCGTTCGTACGGATTAAATGAAAATAAAATCAAAGTAACAATTTTGAAAATTTAGAATGACTGAAGATGGCAGGCAAGTGTATGGATTGAGACTACCGTTGGTCTATCTGATAAGCTTAGCCACCGCCCACACTCGCCCCACACCCCCGCAGGTCCGTTAAATAATTCGAGATGGAGAACTGTTTCAGATCCGATAACTGCGAAGGCATTGATTAGTTCCGCACGAACTGTTCCTTCATTTCTGTCATTGTGAGACGATTCCGATATAGTGTTGACTAGATGACTATTTATTGCTAGAGTGGGTCGTGGAAGCGTGGGTATCGTGGGTTGTCTGTGTGTGTGTGTGTGTGTGTGTCGGCCTTGGATATCGTGGGAGTTCTTGAGATTTCTTACGTACTCTTGTTTCGAATAACCCTGGATAACTGTCCAAGTCGGTGTAGTGAAGCATGCGCAATAAACCAGCGTCCTCGTTTTGAATTTGTGTGCACACGCATGCGTGCTAGATGAGAAGGTACTGCGATGACGGAATCACGTGTTCCAGAGCCTGACTACATATGCACTTACACGCCCGCGCGTGCGCATCTTCAAATATGCAAATATACACGAACGCGTTTCCGAGGAAACGCTCATTAGTTACTTTCTTATCTACGTATGTCTAGTTAACCATGTGACAAATACGTACATTTCATATGTTGGTTGTTGCATGCGCCAATAGTGTAGTGGTTTTTGTACCGGCGTGAAGAACTCCCTCTCAAGATGAAGGAGAATGAGAAAACACTATTAATGGCCGTATAGCAAGCATAAAATTTAAATTACCTCGCGTCTTTTGAATTCAAATGCATGCTCAAGCGAAAATCATAACGCGAAATTACTGAGTGCGCCCTGTTAGCATTGGAAATTTGAACGGTAATATATTGATTGATTAAGGTTAGGGTACTGGTCTCTGGGAGAATTGAAAAGGGAACACATTATTCTATTAAGCACAATAGACTGCATGACTGACAACTTCGGTATTATTTAAGTCAGAAGTTGTGGACAAATTGTATTCGGGAAAAGTTTGATAACAATCTAGTAGTAACATCTAACGATAATTGTCCAGAAAGCAATGACGATATTTGATCGTTCAGACGACAATGGCTATATCAGATTGTCCATAAGTTAATGACGATATAAGATTGTCCAGAGAGCCATGAAGATATTTGATTCTCCAGAAAGCAATGACGACATCTGATTGTCCAGAAAGCAATAACGTCATCTGATTGTCCAGAAAGCAATGACGATTTCTGATTCTCCAGAAAGCTTTGGCTGTATCACAATGTCCAGGGATTACTAGATTTCCCGAACTCAATGTCGATACCAGGTAGTCCAGAAAGAAATGAGGAGTCATGATTCTCAAGAAAGCAATGACGATATATGATTTTTCTGAATTCAATGGCGGTATTTGTTTGTTCAGAAAGCAAGGAGGATTCCGGATTGTCCAGAATTCAATGGGGATTTTTGATTGTCCAGAGATCAATGACAATATCAAATTGTCTAGATGACAATAGGGATATATTACTGTGCAGAAAGCAATAATGATATCATATTTCCCAGAAAGCAATGACGAGATTTGATTGACCCGATAACTGATTGACCAGAATGCATTGACGATATGTGATTGATAAAAAGGCATTGGCGATAACAGATTGGCCAGAAAGTAATGATAATATCTGATTGTCCAGGAAGTATTGCCGATATATGATTGTCCAGAAGGCAATGCCTATATCAGATTGACTAGAAAGTAATGTTGATATGGGATTGTTCAGCAAAGAATGGCTACATCTGATTATCCTGAAATCCGTGACGATAACCGATTCTCCAGAAAGCAATAACAACATTTGATTCTCCAGAAAGCAATGACGATATATGTTGTCCGGAATGTCATGACAACATTTGATTTTTCAGAAGGCAATGATGACATTTGATTTTCTAGTAAGTAATGAACAAACTATTTTCAATGAAGACAAAGTAACATTACCTGAACATTTCTTTTGGAATGGAATATAGTAAAGGTCAATAAATATACAAAAGTGAAATTTCAGAATATATTTTAAATTAAAGTCCATCCACTACAAGGCTCGAGTACCACTCAAGGTAGATGGTTACTGTTATGGCTGTGGTGAATGAAGTGTGTAATATTGTTAATATAGGAGTTGTTAAGAAGTGAATATTATGTGGATACGTATGATAGCCATATTATTCTTACAATTGAATATTATGTGGATACGTACGATAGATAGATTGTTCTTACAACTGAATATTATATGGATACGTACGATAGAGAGATTGTTCTTACAATTGAATATTATGTTGATACGTACGATAGAGAGATTGTTCTTACAAATGAAAATTATGTTGATACGTACGATAGATAAATTGTTCTTACAATTGAATATTACGTGGATACGTACGATAGATAGATTGTTCTTACAACTGAATATTATATGGATACGTACGATAGAGAGATTGTTCTTACAATTGAATATTATGTTGATACGTACGATAGAGAGATTGTTCTTACAAATGAAAATTATGTTGATACGTACGATAGATAAGTTGTTCTTACAATTGAATATTACGTGGATACGTACGATAGATAGATTGTTCTTACAACTGAATATTATATGGATACGTACGATAGAGAGATTGTTCTTACAAATGAAAATTATGTTGATACGTACGATAGATAGATTGTTCTTACAACTGAATATTATATGGATACGTACGATAGATAAATTGTTCTTACAATTGAATATTACGTGGATACGTACGATAGATAGATTGTTCTTACAACTGAATATTATATGGATACGTACGATAGAGAGATTGTTCTTACAAATGAAAATTATGTTGATACGTACGATAGATAGATTGTTCTTACAACTGAATATTATATGGATACGTACGATAGATAAATTGTTCTTACAATTGAATATTACGTGGATACGTACGATATATAGATTGTTCTTACAACTGAATATTATATGGATACGTACGATAGAGAGATTGTTCTTACAAATGAAAATTATGTTGATACGTACGATAGATAGATTGTTCTTACAACTGAATATTATATGGATACGTACGATAGAGAGATTGTTCTTACAAATGAAAATTATGTTGATACGTACGATAGATAGATTGTTCTTACAACTGAATATTATATGGATACGTACGATAGAGAGATTGTTCTTACAAATGAAAATTATGTTGATACGTACGATAGATAGATTGTTCTTACAACTGAATATTATATGGATACGTACGATAGAGAGATTGTTCTTACAATCATACTATTTATGATATTCCAACTCTGTACTATTTTAGCTCTTCACTGAAATGCGAAGTCTTCGTTACGCTTCGAATACATTCTCTAATCGATTCTCTAAAAATTATCTTCGTCTCCTGCGGTATCGACCACCGAAAATGACTTACAACGTCCTCACTGAATCAATTTGAAGACTTATGGTGAAGGTGAGAAAGAAGTGAAGAAAACTTGGTGTACAGTCCGGATCTTCATCTTGCCCATCACCGGTGTGTCTACAATATATGTAGAGTCCCTTTCTTGAGCATCTTGTTCGGGAAGAAAAGCCCCGAGGTTCATAAAATCATACATATTATCTGTACAACCATCATCAGGTGATAAAATATGGATTCTTTTCATTACTTTACGTTATCCTTTACGAAATTATTCGACCACGCCATTTTTTTTGTAGAAAGCATCTCGTACCATTAGCATCGTAACTTCTGAAGAGCTGTCCAAAATTATGAGAAATAGTTTTCTTGTCTCCCTAGGTGGGTGTATTCATTCATAGATTCACGCGAGCTGGAACTAGATGCACCTGAAAAACATTGTCGAATTTGTTTTTGTTTTTCTCATTTGCAGAATTTAAAATATACATATGCTTTACCGCGTTTTGAAAGTAAAAAGAAAATTATTTTTAACATATACATGTAGCTACGAAAAACAAATTGCTGTATAGTATTAATATATGTATAGATATATTCATATTTGCAGTGTATATATTAGATATACGTATAAAAACATTAATATTTATAGAAATAATATGCATATATACATGGATGCTTATAATAAATATTTATAATAAATATATACATATATATATATATATGTATTTATATATCAATACTGAGTGAATATATATATATATATATATATATATATATATATATATATATCTGTGTGTGCGCGCGTGTGCTTTAATATTTAAAGTGTCAATGTAATTACACTTACAGAACTTGTCCTCTGCAAATAATAATAGACTCTTTTTCATATCCAAATAGGAAAAGATCTTACACGAAGAAGAAATGTATACACAATAAGCACAAAACTCCGAATAAAAGGCCATGTCTTTGCCCTTCTACCATAGAAAAAAATAAAACAAATAAAAAAACAGAAATAAAAATAGGAAGAGGTATTTGACTGCCTATACGTTTGCATGTCACACGCATTTTGCATGAAAGGAAAACGGTGATTTATAAACTTCCGATAATGATTTCACACTAGGCAGACGTCAAAGTTTCTGAATCGGGTACGCATGCGCGAGATTTGAAAGATAGCAGCGGGGGCAAATTAAGAAATACGGCGCCCATGAATGAAAGCCCGTCAAAATTGATTAAAATGTAACAAAAGAAAGATGGCGTCGTTTCTCTTCTTGTTAGTGATTTTTGTTTCCTCCTAAGACAACCCGGAGATTCCAGCAAAAGTCTATGCTTTGAAAGCCGGCTTCATCTGCCGTACGTAATCTGTTTATAGTGTCTCATCTTTTGTCGGCTGCTAAAGACCTTCTAAGAACAAACACATTGTCAATTGCAATTCGTAATACAACAATGGTGAACAACTAAAGTACCATTAAAAAAGATTTTTATTCTGGACAAATTTTTATTTTATAGCGAATTTGAAATTTATGTTACACTGTAAATATTATACCGAGCTTGATTTATATTAAGTTAATTAGAAAGAAAAAAAACAAAAAACAAAAACAAAAAAAAAAACAAACAAAAAAACAAAAAAAAAACAATTACTTTTACAGTGTGTGATTTTTGCATTATTAATAAGGTTTACTGTTATTATTTTAATGTCTGGATTTCTTGGATGAGGTGTTAACATTACACTATTTACATTATTCAGACTATTTTCCTAATCTTTGTCGCCATATTTATTACAACGTTTCGGCCGTTGTACGCTCCGGCCTCTTCAGGTGGTTGAAATGTCGAACTGGATCCTTTATTTCGCTCACTGGTCTAGACTGTTCTAGTTCCACGTGCCATGTTTAATGGATGTCAGTTATCGGTTATCTCCTCTTAATTCCCCCTAAGGACACATGGCACAGTGGATAAAGGCGTTAGTTAGATCCAGTGACAGGACCCAAAGAGTGTGAGTTCAATACCCGGTTAAGGCGGTGGAGAACTTTGAGAGGGGAATAAAGATGAGGACAAAAGTCCGAACAACAAAAATAGTACAAACAATTACAATACCTCATGTCAGAAATATAGCCAGAAGTTGAAGATGAATATAGGAATAAAGATGAGGACAACAGTCCAAACAATGTAAATAGTGAAAATAAATACAATACCTCATCTCAGATATCCTAATCTTTGTTATTATCAAAGTTTTTCGGCCGAAGGACTCTCTGGTCTTCTTCAGGTGTTCATCAATCCGGATTTCAATCCCGTCCATCAGTACCATATGTATCGATTCAATAGATCCTGCCCGAATTTCTGAAAGTATAATTATTTACATTATTTACATTCTGACTATACTGGGTGCTCCATAATTTTGGCCTTCTGTCACATATAAGCTATGCTTCGTAAATCGCTATTTATGTGCGGTGTAATGGCTCAGAATGAGAAATCAGAAAGCCGAGTTCAAATTCCAGTCGGGTTCTTTATATTCGCTCTCCGGTTTTCTTCAGAAACCTGAAGATGGCTGAGACGTTGTGATCAGATCTAAGATGAATTCCTTACTTCGACTGTTAATATTTAGATAATGATTATGTCTTTGAACAAAAAAGAGGGTGTAGCGTTTACGAGATATGGATGGGGTTTTTATTCCGTTTCCAAAAAGATGCAACATCTGAAAGCCATAATTAATCTATCGCTATTTACATGGCATATGTTCATATGAGCGCTCTATACTTTTGTTCCAGTAGTTCAGACATTTATAATTAGGACACACTATGCCATTCCCACGGAGTCGAATCACCCTAATTTCGACTCAATCCTCACTTTCCAGCCTTGATAGAGTTCTTTTGGCACACTTCATCTTTACAAGAGTCAAATCAGACCAAAAATGGAATAATGCTGCCATATCTGAGATGGAGCTGCTCAATCCTCACTTTCTAGCATCGATAGAGTCCTTCTCGTACGCTTCATCTGTCCAACATTCAGATCAGACAAAAATGGAATAATGCTGCCATATCTGAGATGTAGTTACTCAATCCTGACTTTCCAGCCTTGATAGAGTCTTTCTGGCACGTTTCAATTTTACAAGATTCAAATCGCAGCAAAAATGGAATATTGCTTCCATATCTGAGCCTTGATAAATATATTCTCCAGCTGTTAAATAGTATCATTGTTATTTTTTAGTGGTAGCTTATTTTGCTTCATACTTTCTGAGGCTGACTTTTGAGGTCAGATGGTAGACAAAATTGGAATGTCGATTTTGATTGGCTTAGCTGAACTTGGGAATGAGTTATATATTTGGGACAGGTTTTGGGGGAGTTGCTGATTAGACGTCGAGCTGACTAGACATGGTGGTTTGCGTTAGTGCAACCCCCCTTCCAGTGGGGAAAGGTCTTTATAGATTTGATAGTTACGAGGCAAAGGAAATGAACGTGTGAGATTTTCGTGTTTGGAAGCGGCTCCTAAATAGGGTGTGTAGTAACCCGCACTTGATAGAAGATATACCCGTCGACGTGATTAATAAAATAATAGTTAAGGTAAAAGTTCTCCTTCTTTGTCTAAGAACCTAAAGAACACTTCGCGAAATCGACTAAGAGAAGAAGAGGATTGAATTGAAAAGACCAGCTATCACCGGCCAGACAAAATGAGACCAACCAACACTCTCCCATCAGTGAAAGGTATCCAACAAACTATAAAACCCCTTTCTCCGCAGACAAAACGTTGCAAGACTACACCCTTCTACAAATTAATTGAAACCGCCGCTTTAGTTTCCTTTCACCATTCGTACTGTTTTAGACTCACTGGCAGACAGGGTGTAATCGATTTCTATTTCTTCCTCAGATTAGGTCATTTGCAGTGGTGTGAAGTAATATGAATCTATCTTCCGGGTGTATGATAAAATTTGTTTGGCCTTGAAAAATATTGTGTCAACCGTGATTGTATCAAATTTTAATCACGCCTAGACACTATTGTCTCGACTGTCGATTAGTTTTCCTACGGTTATTGTCTGCGATGGACTTTACTCCAAGGATACGTACGAATATTGTAACGTTGCACGAATACCTTGCAAGATTTACCAGTGAGCACATAAAAAGTAATATAGACTGGCCCAGAAACTCTGCTTTAAATCCAATCGAGAATCTGTAGTCAATCTGCAAGGATCGATTTCGTGGGATGGGCATATGAAGGACTAACTAAGATTCTATGCACAGCTAGAAAGATCCTCCTTGAATGCTCTTCAGCTTCTAGTTACAGCCCTTTTGATGGCAGTGGTAAGAAAAACAAAAGCAGTCATGGATGAGCGAAAGTTGAGGTAAAAGCGAGAGAAAACAAACATAACCCGCGTGGCAGCGAAAGGCTGAGGCCTAAGCCGCCGCGAGGCGCAAGTTGCCGTCTCCGCGACGCTAACCGGACAAGCTCGAACTTCCTACCAACTTATTCTTTGAAACCTGTTCGTGTAACAACCTTTGCTTTTTTGCAAAATTTCATACTATTCAATATGAAAACTATACAAAAAGCTTAGAAATGACATAAAAACAAGAATCAATAGGTTTAGTTTGAAATTCGAATTTTATTTTTTGAATTTTTTCCAAAAAATCGAAAATCGTAACTTAGTCCGAAAAGTAATTTTGCCGATCACTGCCGAGGCGGGCGACGCGCGCCCGGCTACGGCAAACGAAGGCCTTCTACGGAACTACGCACTTTTCTAAGGCGCATTAAGGCAAACGTAGGCCACCGAAGTACTTAGGCACTACTTTGAGCTAGTGGTCCCATGACCACTGTCCAGGCACGATGCACGTCCGGCTACGACGCCTTGATGACCCCCCGTAACCTTTTGGGAAAAGAAAATTTCACACGAACCCATGAGGTGGAAGAACTACATTGAATCAATAGCTTCATCTACCATAAGCAAAGTTGGTTCACCTGTGTCGCGACAGAAGGTCT